GGACTGAGCGAGCGACCTGCCCAGGGTGCAGAGCCCCGTCCTCTCATGTAGGAGCCACTGTGAGAACAAAGGAGGTGACATCCTGGTGGTGTGATGGGCCTGGGGGAGGGCTCAGGAGTGACTTTTGGGCTGGGTGGTACAGAGGACCAGAAATAGCCAGAGGGAGAGGGGGAGGGAGAAGGGCTTCTGGTGGAAGCAGAGCTGCGAAGGACAGTGTGTGCAGGTAAAGGTGAATGCAGAGCCGGTGTGAACCCCCTTGAGCGCTAGGCTGGGAGAAAACTCTTTACATTTGAAGACAGTGCTTCACTCTGTTGTGTGGTTTGCCATGAATTAAAGGGGGCTGGACATCTGGTGATGGGAATGTCAATGCACCGAGAAACATGGGGGGGTTCCAGAGGAAATAACAAAGGGGGCAGAGATGGGAGGCAGGCGTTTCTCTGCTGAGTCACTCGTTGTCATTTCGCTCCTGAGGAACGAACAAGAAAGATGCGAAAGATGCGTCATCCTTCGCTTGGGAGACCAGGGAGAGCACGAGGGGGCGGCCTGGCCTTCCCGGGGGCGCAGCTCCCAGCGATGCCTGGAAAGGGGCTCCGGTCCTGCTCTGAGCCCCCAGCCCAGCCCTGGGCCAAAGGGACTGGATGTCTCACCACAGCCCAGCCAGGCGCTGTCCGCACAAGTCCACGCTCATGCACAGTGAGATGCCTCTTTCTGTTTCCTCGCCAGGCACCGCCTAGACTCCTTCGATCCCGCTTCAGGAAGAAAAGTACCTCATCCTCAGCCACTGAAACCACATGAGTGAGACGAGCCAACAGCACCGGATACACAGAACGTTTCTCCTCTGCCTTAAAGAGCTATTCACTAACAACACGGTGTCTGCAAGCTGGTGTGCTGTGTGCAGCCTCACAGACATGGCCTTTTCTCCCCTCCCCTTTTAGGATATTGTTTTCTCCGTCTTTATTTTGCTGGGAAAGGCTAAAGGGCAGGTAGTGTTTGGGGGGTGGTGTGTGACCCTAAGTCTTCTGAGGTTAGTAATTTTCCACAGTTGGGTTGTCATTACAGACAGCAGTGTTTGTAGAAATATAAGGGAATCCCCCTCCCTGCTGAGATGTACATTTGTAATTTATTTGTTGCATACTTCATTTTTAGTCCTGTAAATGCAAACAAAGCCATTTTTTAAAACTGTTTTTGTTCTTGGTACTAATACTTTGGACTACAGTGTACATATTTATGGCTTTTGGCTTCATATAATGGACTTGCCAGGGCTGCCAGAGGTTCTGATAATGTAAGAAAACTACAAACACAGAAGTTTAAAAAATGTTTCTGATTCCAGAGCACATCTTAGATTGTGCTTAGAAAGCGTCCCTTTCCCTGCAGTTCAGCATCCCTTTCCCTGCGGACGCCGGTCCATACGCAGACAGTTGTTTTGTCCGTGTGTCGGGGAGAGAGGAGCAGGGAGGTCAGGGACACAGCCCGAGTAAGAGAAGTCACAGGAAGCTTGTCTTCCCCTTGGGTTCAGGGTGAGGAGCTTCGAATCCTTTGGGGGGAGGCGGGAATTACCATTTGCCTCGGGCAGGTGGCTCACCCGTGGGAAAATCCTTGGGGATGTGGACTCAGAGCCCATGTGAGGAATCATTTTGGATGTTTCAAAACTTCCTGATGAATGACTGTTTCTCCTCCACGGTAACCTGGCTGTGACCAACCTCCCCAGGCGGAGGGGCTTACACTGAGCGCCTTCTTCTACAGTAGAAACCCCCACCTGCCAAACAATGCAACACTAGAACCGTGCTTTCAGGTGTGTGCTACAAAACACCGAGGCACCGTGTCACAACCCACACGCCGGGTTCTGGGGGATGTTAGAGGCCGAGACCTTCATGGATGCGACTTACTGCTCAGCTCCTTCCACCCTTGTTCCCCTTCTGGCTCGTGCAGTGTGAACGAGAGGGAAGTCGCAGGCTTATGGGCATTTCATACAAGCCCAGATGGCTTAGTAGGAGAATAGCGCACTACCCACGGGGGCTCCCTCCTTAGTGAGGAACTTTGTTAGAAAAGGCGGGTCTGGATTAAATAGTATTTTGGCCCGAGGTAGCTGCTCTCCCCTTGGAGCTGAACCTAAACGCAGGTGTGTATTTGTGCTTGGAGCTGGTGTTTTCTCTCCGTGTGATGCATGCAGTGGCTACAACCCTGTTATTTACAACTCTTGGATTGTGTTTGTTCGTAGATATGCCCTGAAGACTAGACAGTTAGTGTTACCTACCACATAGAACTTCCCGTCAACCAGCTGTCAGCGGCCCGTTAGAGGCTGTTCCGCTCATTCTCCAGCCGTGGGATGGCATCAGCGGGCTTCCCTGATGACACACTGCGACATCCCAGCCCCCTCAGCGGCTTCTCCTTGAAGTCGACTGTTATCAGACACGCATATTTAAATCCCTTTTCCCCATAATTACTCTGAGGGTGACTTTGTAATTTACAAAAAGGATTTAGGAAAATAAACCTAAAAACAAATTTGTAATTCAGAGGACAGACGGAAGCTGTCTTTTCACTGTCTGTGCCTCACCCCCACTAAAACCTGCTTAGGGAAGACAGAAAGTCTGTTTCCTCTAAGCTCACTGAATAGTTGCAGACAGAGGGAAAATGTATGCTTTGGTGTGTATCTGTCAGTTGGGAGTACCCAGGATCATCAGAAACAAGTATATAAAAAGCTTCACTTAAGCAGCTTCCCTCTCTTCCCCCAAATAATGCCTGTAGCAGCAGAGATTATAATTCTAATGGGAGCAAGCTAGATTTTCACTATTTTGCGATGGACAGTTTTAACAAGTACAGACGATCAAGTTTGCACTTGACTATGCCAAAAACAAGTTCCAAGCGCTCTCCTCTCAGACATGCTGTATTACTTCTCCTTCAAGACTTAAAAATACAAAGCTATCCAAACTGCTGTCTTAATGTAAATGTAACTATTTTTCCTTCATGTGTTGATTAGGGAGTTGGTTTCTCTCTTAAAAACACTCATTGTACAACTGAGACGAGCTGTCATATTTCTGGCAAAATGTGTTTACTTATTCAGCAAGCTGTTCTGTTGGTGTGTGGACTGACATACAGTGTGACCGCCTCCAAGTGTACATGTAGTGGCGTGGTGTTGTCTTGAGGAGGTAACTACACGTTTTTAATTTGCTGGTAGACACAGGCTGTTTACAAAATGCTGGCTCAAAAGTCTGTAATTGTCATTTTCTGTAATAACTTTTGGTTAGTTGCCATTGAACACCTGATCTGCTTCTGAGGAGGTGGTGGGTGGTGTACCTGGAAACTGGAGAGTTTAGCATCATCCCTGCTGGCTGTGTGTGAACAGCTTGCTCGTTCGCTGGACCTGAAATGTGTGTTCTCTGCAGAGGCTGTCCGTGTTTGTGGTAACAGTGCTTGTCCACAGTGACCACCGTTGAGCACCTCCCTCATTCTTCCCCTCGCGCAGTATTTGAAACGGTAAAGGGTGAGCTTCGTTCTCAGACAGCTGCCGTGCCGGCCTGTGACTGTGCGTACTCCCCTAGTTAGTTCTGTAGACCCTAAGAACGCTCTGTAATAAAACAGCAAACTGGACTGTGCATCAAGGGGCATAAAATCCCAGGATTCCCAAGGCTGACGTTCTGCTGTTTTGTTATAATGCTTGGTATATATCTTGAATAAAGTCTTAAAGGTTTTCTTTTAAAAAAAATACCTTTGTAATGTTGGGCTTATGAGGAAAGAGAAAATACTTGTAAAAAAAATGTGAAAGAAAACAAACGTGGAAGGTAGCAAGGATTAGAAGCTGAACGCTCAGCCACTAACAGGCTTGTGCCTGGTGACCTGGCCCTGAACCCACCGCACAGAACTGCTGCAAGGAAAACATTAAACGACACCAGTGTTTTGAAAAACAGGTGATCACATGAATATAAATCTGGTTGTCTGTTTGCTTTACATTTTTAAAGGTTGCCATAGAAACCGGGTAGCTCTGAAACTAGGTACCAGTTCAACTGGAAGGCAGTTTAATTCTGCGAGCAGACTTTTGCCTGTCGTTTTCCTCTTGGAACCTGTGTCCTCATCTGCAGGGCAGAGGGTGGTGCATGTGGAGGTGCTGGGGCTACGCCCGCCCTGGCACCACTGCAGCCCCGGCCTTTAGAATACGGGCTGGCCCACTACACTTCCTGGGTGGTCGCAAAGACATGGAAACTCAGCGTTTGAGATGTCAAATGAAACACTCACCTTCTCTGCTTTCAGTCTTACACTGCATATGGCTGGCGCAGGCACTGTAAAGCGCAGCAGCAGGAAAGGCAGAGCGAGAAGACCAAAAGGGAGATGAAGAGATGGACAGGTGGAAACCACTTACTCATTTACTGAGCCAAGTCCAATGTCAACCAGGTTAAGTGACAGAAAATTTAAGAACTGATGGTGCAGTGTCATGAAGTATCTAGTATTTACAATGCTAGATTATAGTTCCTTATTGATTTAGGTACTAATTTTCATGTTGTTAGAAAACTCAGGAAAATACACAGGATCCCAAGGAGTTAAACCTGGGTTCTGAGTGACTTATTAGTTGTATTTTGGGTTACTTATTAACCTTCTGTAAGATTCAGTGTCCTCAAATCTAAACTAGGGATAAAGAATATCTCCTTGCAAGGTTGGTATGAGGATTAGCAGCTTTGTAGAAACACGCCCATCCCTATACCCCCCACAAAACAAAGATCATAGGCATGAAAGTCCCTTTTACCCTAAAGCGTTTACCACCAGCCCTTCCCTTCCTGTCCCTCTGGATGCTGAGGCCTGCTGCATCCTTGTCTCTCCCGTCCCAGGCCCAGAGGAGAAACCAAAGTGCTCTAGGCCACAGTGACAGAGCCTTGTCCACATGTGCACTCAGAAGTCAAGGCGGCAGAGAGGCGGGGAAAGTGCCTCCCCGCAGCTTCTTCAGGCACAGCCTCCATCCCTCCACCAGCGGCAGGAGCCAGAGGTGAGGAGTGCCCGGAGGCCTTGTCCGTGGTGGATTTCTGCCATCTCAGAAGTCTGAGGAATGAAAGCCCATCCAAGCAGAATGCCATTCCACGCGTCAGGCTCTTACCTCATCTCAGATCAAACATCTGTCATTTATGACTTAGTCCCATAACAGACGCACTTGGCCGTCTAGGTTTAGAACTCGATTGTCACCCCTTTTCCTTTTAATGAACACACACTATTTCAAAGAATTCCTCTAATGATCCTAGCACAACATGACACAGAATTTCGATTTATCTTTCCCCTTAATAACAATAGGGGACCTTCATCTTATCGTCAGCTATTAAAGAATTTGAAGCAGTAAGTAATGGTTTGTCAACCAGGCAAAGTGCTATTGTTTGAAAAATTCTTTCCAGATGATTCTGATGGGAGAGCTGAGAACCACTGCCCTAGATTTTACTCAGTCAACTGTGTTTTCCTCGATGCTTCCCTGACCCTCTTCAAATGAGAAATGCTTATCTCTTGCATCCTCTCTGAAATGACTGAGAAGACTTCTTCCCCTTAGTTTCTACAGTGTACCTTTGGAAAATTTTGGAAAAAGTTTATCCTCACAATTAAAAATATGAACTATCATGTGGATAAAATAACTTTTTAAAAATACAGTATCGCCCTGACTGGTTTGGCTCAGTGGATAGAGCGTCAGCCTGGGGACTGAAGGGTCCCGGGTTCGATTCCGGTCAAGGGCATGTACCTTGGTTGCGGGCACGTCCCCAGTAGGGGGTGTGCAGGAGGCAGCTGATCGATGTTTCTCTCTCATCAATGTTTCTAACTCTCTATCCCTCTCCCTCCCTCTCTGTAAAAAAAAATCAATAAAATATATATTTTAAAAAAAAATACAGTATCGCCCTGCCCGCAAGGCTCGAGGGTTGAGCATCGACCTATGAACCAGGAGGTTGAGGTTTGATTCCTGGTCAGGGCACATGCCCGGGTTGCGGGCTCCGTCCCCGGTGAGGGGCGTGCAGGAGTCGGCCGATCCATGATTCTCTCTCATCATGGATGTTTCTCTCACTTCCTCTCCCTTCCTCTCTGAAATCAATAAAAAAAATTTTTTTAATTAAAAAAAAAATACAGTATGTTTCAACTTGTTTGTATAGCCACTTCTGCTTCATGAATGGGCATACTCATAGGCTATTTCTTTTGCTCTTCTATAAAAAAACTGTCCCAATAAACTAAGAACTGCTGAGAACACAGTGAACCTAGTAAATATACTAGCTATGTGCTGCCTCCTGTGCTCACCTCTAAGTGAAACTGTCCTCGTAATTACTTTTTGCTCCACATGAATTGCTAACACAGCCAAGTGAGTCAGGGTGGGCTCCTGACCTGAGAACAGCCAATCCCTGCACTGTTTGCCAC